TCCCCAGGTCTTGCCACACTGCTGGCCAACCAGGTCTCCACCCGGGTTCACAGGAGTTAGCTCACAGCTTCATTGATGTTTTTCCCTCACTTCCCCTTATCGGTGACAAACATGGTCACCAATCAGAGCTCATGTCTGCTTGTGTATTCCCATTGAGTCTTAGTCTCTTGGAAGGGTTTTGCCCTGAGGGGACCTGACCACTTGCCTTAATGTCTCCTAGGCGAGCAACTTGCTTGTTCTTGTAGTAATCAGTTGGGCTGCCTATATTGTTTTGTATTTTTCTTGTCGGTCTTTCTTTCGAAGTTCCAGGCTGGTGTGCTTGTCCTTTCAAGTGGAAATTTCCCACCTCAGAAGATTCTGGATGCGGTTCAGGATTCCACCTTTGGTCTTATGTAATGCAGGGGCTCCGCAGGAAGCCTCCTTCACTGGGCACGTTGTAGCCCCATTTTAGGTATTCCAATCAGTTATAGGCAAAAGACGGACTTGAAAGCTTTCTATGGTGATATTTCTGGCTATTCCTTTCTCTCCTAGACTTTTTTTTGTCACCTTCTTTTTCATCAGTATTTCCTGGGCCCATTTGGAACTTAAACATGAGGCTGAACTCTTAAAAATGGAGAATCCCTGTATGAAGCCACAGAAGGACTTCTGAGGATTAGAAGCAGAAAGCAGGTGGGAGATGGGAGAGCACATGGCCATGGCCTGGAGTGGTCTCGAAGATGCTGAGGCCCAGCCTAGACAACCATGGAGCAGAGTTCTCTGTGGGGCAGGATGCAGTTACAGTCCCTGACAGCATCACCCTGACACCCTGACTTTGTTCCTTTGGTCCCTCAGGTTGGCCACCCCTGCTGAAGGTGAATGACTGACTGACTCCCTAAATGTCTATTGAGCATGTGGGGTGTGCAGATAGGCCAGAGGTTCCAGTGTAGCACTAGCTGCTTCCTGTTAGCTTCACTCCCCTGCCAGGCTCAGCTGGCTGCATGGGAGACACCCCCTAGTCCCCTTGCCCAGCCCCTGGCTCTCACATGTGAGGTGGAGCATTCCCTGCAGGGGTGAAAGTGAACCTGTGTCTGGATCAGAGCTTCTCACACTTGAGAATTACTTGTGAGTTTTTGAAAAGTGCTGGTGTCTAACTGCCTATTTCTGGACCATAAAATTAGAATTTAGGAATTAAAGACCAAGGCAATTTTCTAATGCTCACTGAGAGACTATTTCTTTGCAGTGGCCTCGGCAGAGGGGAAGGTTTGGGACCGTCCGACTGTTACTATGATGCAGACCCCTCCCAATTGAAGCTAGAGGCTTAGTTGCTCTGGGATTCAGAGGCTCTGGGGTGGTCATCCAGCATGGAATGCGTAGGGAAGGTCTTACGGTGAGCCTTTCCCACGACCAGAGGGGACTGCTGATCACTTCCAGCTGTCCTGCCCACCAGGAAGGTTGCCTGCACATGTTAGACTGAAAACTTTGTTATGAGCGCTGTCAACCTGGGCTCCATTGCTGGAAATGACCCATAGGATGAGGAGGGAAACAACGGGGGTGGAAATGTGTGTGTGTAGGTGTGGGGGAGGACAGAGGGGCAGGAACTCCTTAAGTATGAACAGGCCCCAGAATATAACTGCCTTTAAAGAAAATAATGAAGTGTGCTTAAAAGCCAAGACTTTCTCATACTCACTCCTACAGCTAGGGGTGGGGTAGGAGGTCTCCACCCACCCCTCACCCCCGCCCCCCCCCCCCGCATCCCCTGGCCCTGGCCCTGGCCCAAGAGCACGTGTTTGTGCTCATCCATTTCCAAAAGGGCTTAAGCTGGGCTGTTATCTACTGGCCAATAGAGAAAACCCAAAAGCAAACACGTTTTCACATTTGCTCTTCAATGCTCAGGGGAAGCGAAGTTTTTCTGAGATTACACATTTTTCTAGCATTATGCTCTACTTGAGAATGCAAAACAATGATATGGGATTTTTCTTTATTTCTTCTTTTGTATGTGTGTGTGTTTCCTAGGGCCACACAGAGGCATCTGGGGTAGGTGTGATGATTAGATCCAGGGCTGGTGTGTCCCTGTATGGAATTAGACACTCAGATCGTGGTTGCTAAATGCAGACCATGCTTACCTTTCCCCGCAGCTCTTAGGGCTTTCTGGAACATCTCTGTTTCTTTGAATTTTAAGGCAATTTCCAGAAACACCTGCTTTTTCTGCATACTGGAAGGGCAGAAGTCACAGGCTTAGAAGAAGAGAACTTGAGTTTAAACTCCAACCTTGCCACTTCCTATCTGTGTGAACTTAGGCAAGTCACTTAACCCCTCTGAACTGCCGTTTTCTCATTTGTGAACAAGGGGAAATGTAAATGGTGGGTCTTGATGCAGAAAGGGGATAAGAGAGACTGAAAAGACTCAAAGGAGGGTGTTTGGGCATTCACACACACACACACACACACACACACACACAAGAGAATAGTGCTTGCTTTTTTTCTTACTGGGCTTTCTCTACAGCTTTCCTTGAAAAGGGGACCCACCAAAGCTTCCCCAAATCCTAATGCCCAGGTCCCACCCCAGACCAATTAAATCAGATTCTCTGAGGGTGTCAGTATTTTTTTTAAAGTCCACTAGGTGATTCTTTGCATGATGCAAATGCATTTGTCCACTAACAGAAAAGGTTGGTGCCTCAGAAGAAAAGCTTAGGATCTACTTCTGCAAAGTCAGCCATTGAAAACCCAATGGAGCTCAGTTCTTTGACACACATGGGGTTGCTATGGGTCAGAGTCAATTGGACGGCAGCTGGCTAGATTCTGACACATAGCCCAGCCTGAGAAATCCTGTCCCAAAGGATGTGCTGAAACAGTGACAGGGCAAAGGGTGACAAACTCCAATATGCCTGCAGGTGAGGCGCTATGGGCAAGAATCCTGTCACGGCAGGGTGGATCCTTAGCATCTGAGGTTTCCTTGTGCTGCTTTTGACCCTCAGGAAAGAAGTCAAAGGTCCATTACATTTGCCACTTATCATTTTTCTGACGTAGCTTTGAATTCCACCTGCCACAAGGTGGTGCTTGAGATGAGGTTGTTTGGCAGCACCATAGGCCTCCCTGCAAGCCCCTCCTCACCCCAGCTGTGACTGGGCATCCAGCTCCTCGCAGGCTGCTCTCAGTAACCCTCAGGAAGTGATTCAAAGACTGGGAACTGGTCCCAAATGAAGGCCAGCTGTAGTGCTGGTGTTAAAAACGAGGAGAAACTGAAGAGGTTCCAGAGATGGGTGGTTCTAAGCCAGAAAGTGGGAGCTTGGGTCGGATCCTGGGGGTTGTAGACTCCAGGATGTGTCCACCAAGAGCACACATGGGTTGTCCTCAGCCCAGACCCAGCTCAGTCCTACAGAACCTCAGAGGTCACCACAAGTCTCTCTGATGTGCATGTACATCAGGAAATAGATATGTTTTTGGTTTTTGATGTTTTCACAAATAATTTTAATAATAGTATTATTTCCTTTTTATTATTTGGCTAAGCGAAAATATACATTTTAGCTGATAAACTATACTGACTAAAGGAGTTTTAAACATCCTATTACAATTCAGGGAGCCTTGGTGTGGCGCTGTAGGAAAAGCACTGGACTGCTAAGCACAAGGTCAGCAGTTCAAACTCACCAGCCGTTCCCTGGAAACTGTTATGAACCGGAACCAACTCAACGACACTTCACAGCACAACAACGATACAATGCAGTTACAACAGAAGATACACAACAACATTCATAGGGACAAGGGAGAACTCCTTAGACTGTTCTGGAAAAGTAGAACACTTAATGTGGATGGACCTTGAGGACTGCCTTCACTTCCTCGGTGAATATAACTGTCATAGATACGAACTCTTCCTGTCTGAGCATGCATGGTTCCAGACCCTCAAGTACTCCAGGGTTACCATATCATCTCCTTACTGCAATGATAGTTACATAAAACAAACAAACAAACAAATGAATTGATGCTTACGGCAAAGTCTGAGAAGTATAAGGTACAGTCTCACAAGACTTGTAGGCAGGGCCCTGCTTGACTGAGTTTTCATTCAGGTCTAACCTAAAGGTGCTTTGACCAACAGCCAATGCAGAAATGTTGCCCCTTTCTTCCGCAGGTATCGAGTGAACTTCAGACCCAGGTATGTCACTAAATACAAGACAGTGACGCAGTTGGAATGGAGATGCTGTCCTGGGTTTAGAGGGGGAGACTGTCAAGAAGGCCCCAGGGATTCCAGGAAGAGCCCCCGCCCTACACCTAGTCAGCCTCGAAACAACATGAAGAAAGCCACAGGTAACTAAGGTCTCATTTGTATTTTGTTAGACATGGACCAGCTAGGTTAGGAGGGACCAGTACTTGGAAAAGGACAGCATGCTTGGAAAAGTGGAGGGTCAGCAAAAAAGAAGGACACAGTGGCTGCAACACTGGGCTCAAACATAACATTTGTGAGGATGGGGCGCAACCAGGCAGGGTTTTTTTCCTACAGGGTCATCATGAATCAGTATCACTTTGCTCCCGCGGAAAATAGGAGCCTCTAGGTGGACTTCACAGCAATGGGTGGACAGAAATGCCTGCAGAAGACACTTGTGGCAGACACAGTTATTTGTAGGAGCAGTAGCAAGTGGAAGACAAGCTTTTCTGCAAGTAAATTACTTAGTTAGGGCCAACTTGGTGCAAAAGCCAATGGCTTAGGGCTCATGGTTTCAGACTTGTTAAGCAATTCAAGTGTCATAAGGATTGATTTGCTTTTACTTTACTTTCATCTGAGTTTATAGAAGTTAAAATAATTTTTTTGAAATAATAGGCAAATTAGAATCATTCTCATTCTGTTTTGGATGAGATCATTGCAAAGTTAAGCCCAAAGTTGGGGGTATCGGGTAATCTTAATTGTGTTTCTGAAACTTTTGTTTTGAAGTGAAGTAGCACAGACACAGTGAATACCTAAAGAAGCACTTTTAGGCATTTTGCTCTACATTCCTTTGTCTTTTCTCATTACAAATACTGCCTAGTTTTTTTGAAATGAAATTAGCTGTCTAAGTTGTCTTTAAATGATTATATTTCCACAAGGCATTTTCTCCAGTTTTGAAATTGGCAGTGCTTCCTAACTGTATGCAAAATAAAATGTAAAATAGTTTTTCTTATTATGAATGTAATGCATATAAGTTGAGGAATCTTTATATAATGTAGGAATTTTCTTTAAAGACAAATTTCAGGCAGGTAATTACAATAAATTAGAAAAGTTCTAAATGGCTGTGTGCTGTGGAGTCGGTTCCGACTCATAGTGACCCTGTACAGGGTTTCCGAGGCTGTAAATCTTTATGGGAGCAGAATGACTCAGCTTTCTCCCATGGAGCAGCTGGTAGTTTTGAACTGCTGACCTTGTGGTTCGCAGCCTGATTTGTAACCACTATGCTTGGGATAAAGATAAGGTGGGTTGCTGTGGACTCATTAATAGTTTATGAGGACTGGTAGAGTAGTGGATTACAAGCTGGGCTGCTAACCACAAGGTCAGCAGTTTGAATCTATCAGCTGCTCCACAGGAAAAAGATGAGGCTTTCTGCTCCCTTAAAGATTCACAGCCTCGGAAACCCTATGCAGGGTCGCTATGAGTCGGAACTGATGTGGTGGCACGTAACCATCTCCATTAGGAAAAAGAGAGAGCCCTAGGTACTGCAAACTGTTTGTGCCTAGCTATTAACCCAAAGAAGGAGCCCTGGTCTTGTAGTGGGTTACGAGCTGGACAGCTAACCACAAGGTCAGCAGTTGGAGTTTACCAGTTGCTCTTCTGGGAGAAAGATGAGGTTTTCTGCTCCCATAAAGATTTATATCCTCGGAAACCCAATACAGGGTCACTATGGGTTGGAACTGACTTGATGGCACATAACCACCACTACTAACCAACAGGATGGTGGTTTGAGCCCTTCATTTGTGCTGAGGAAGAAAGGCCTGGTGGTCTGCGTCTGTAACGATCACTAACAAGAACACCCTAAGAAGCTTGTTGTTGTGAAGTGCTGTCAAGTCGGTTCCGACCCATAGCGACCCTGTATAGGGTTTCCAAGGAGCAGCTGGTGAGCTTGAATCACCAACCTTGCAGTTCAGACGGCTTTGCAGTCTGACACATTAACCCACAGTGCCACACCAGGACTCCCTAAGCTTACTTCTCTGTAAAATATGGGCTGGCCGGGGTTGGAATTGACTTCACAGCAATGGGTGTGAGGAACAACAACCATATCGCCACCATTTCCTCCTCCCCTGAGGCAATTCCTTTAAACTCTTCCGATACCATCTTTTGGAATATACCTCAGTTTTGGAAGATGAAAATTTAATCTCTTTCATCCACTCCTCAACATGCTGCTCCTATAGCCCATTTTTACTATATAGTTGAGGAGCCCTGGTGGTGCTGTGGGCTAAACATTGTTGTTGGTTTAAACCCACCAACTGCTCCATGGGAAAAAGATGAGGCTGTCAGCTGCTGTAAAGATTTATGGTCTCTGAAACCAAAGGAGCAGTTCTATTCTGTCCTGTATAGGGTCACCGTGAGTCAGAATCAGCTTGATGGCACTGGGTTTCTATAGTTATATCATGTTTTATCGATTCAGTATTTGCATTGTAAAACTATGCAGATGAGCTTTACAACTGAGCTATGTGCTATGAAGGTGGTTCCTTTGCCTCTAAAGTTAATAACTACCTTATGTTTTCCTTTGCTCTGTTTTCAACCCAAACCCTCCTCTGGTTATCTAAATGTACTGTCGTACGTTCAGACACATCAGCTTCATCTTTTTGAAGAAATCTCTCCCAGAGCCTTCTCACATGATCCACCTGGACTAGTTGATCCTCCTTCCCTGGTTTACGTCAGTCATCCTGGGATCTTAATTGGCCTCTATCCCACTGGATTCTGTTTCCTGTAACACCCACCACCACTACCACACATACACTTGCTCTTTTCCATTTATACCCTTGTTTTGCTAGATAGACTTCATCCTCCAGCATCTCTGCTTATCGAGTTGATGCCAATGGAAGGAGGTAAACATCCATTTTAAAAATGCATTATAGTCTGAAAATATTTCTATTTTAGCTTTAGAGTTCTAAGTTGGAAATCATTTTCCTTCAGAATGTTGAAAGCACTGATTAGTTTTCTCCTAGGTTCCCAGGCTGCTGTTAGCAAGTCCAAAACCATTCTGATTTCCAATTCATGTGTGACCTGTTATTGGTGATTATTCCTGTCCATCTTTTTTTATTTTTGCCATTTTAGTGGTATTTCTGGAAATGTTTATCTTCATCCCACAAGAATCACAGAGAACATACTGTTTTCAGAATTTACATTTTTGCTTAATCTATAATGAACAGCTTTCATGTCATTAAGTATTCTATAATATCATGAATGGCTCCAGAGAATTTGACTGTTTGACTGTGTTGTAATTTAAACAGTAGCCTGCTGTTGGACACTAAAATTGTGAGCAATTTTTCACGATTACAAATAGTGTTTGAATAAACATTTTTTCCTATTAAATGTTTGTCCTCATGCTGAGTATTTACTGGAATACATTTCTAGAAATGCAATTGCAGAGTTGAAAAAATTCTGAGAATTTTGTCTCATATTGCCACATTTTCCTCTGAAGAAGTTGTAGCAATTTACAGTCACTAGTGGTGTGGCGCTGTAGGCTAATGCATCAGACTGCAAAGCTGTTTGAACTGGTTGGTGGTTCAAGCTCACCAGCTGCTCCTTGGAAACCTTATACAGGGTTGCTATGGGTCAGAATCGACTCAACGGCACTTAACAACAACAGTGGTATCTGAATGAGTCTTGGTGTGACTCTGGACTGAAAGGTTGGTTTGAACCTCAAGGTCGGCAGTTCAGGCTCACCAGTTGTTCCTTGGAAACCCTGTACAGGGTTGCTATGAGTCTGAACCAACTCCACAGCACACAACAACAACAGCAAGTGGTATTTGAGAGAAGCTCTCTCCATGTCCTTGATTGTCCCCCATTCTTACTGCCCTATGTTTTCATTTTTTCTGCCCAGAATAGTATTTCATTTGTATATGATTTAATTCTTGCTTTCTTCTTCCAACATCTTGAGATAGAATAATTTTTTTCAGTATGGAAATAGGATGTTCTTTATAATTCTCCATGGGAGAAAGGATGTGATTGTGAGTCTGGACATCTGAAATTCAGTCTTTTTTTTATCACTAAATTCACTTTGATTTGATAAATACTAATTGTTGTCATGATCTTCTGCAAAGGTTTAAATAAGGGAAAGCAATGAACATTCAACTCAAATGCCTGTAACATTCTAAACTTACTTCCAATAGGTATCAGTGTATTTTCTTTCATTGTAATCTATTTTGTGTTTGATACATTTCCATATAGTCTTCAGGTTTGTCCATGTTAACCCCTTTCCTGTATTCTTTGCGTTCCACTATGTTCAAGGGCATGGTTTCTTTGTTCGTCTCCTACTGCTGCAGGGTTTGGTTGTCTCTTTGATAGATATATTGTTGTTGTTGTTGTTAAGTGCCCTTGAGTCGATTCCAACCCATAGCGACCCTGTAGAGGGTTTCCAAGGAGCAGCTGGTGAGCCTGAACCACCGACCTTGCAGTTCAAATGACTTTGCAGTCTGACACATTAGCCCACAGCGCCACATGTAAATGAGAAAACAAATCTCTATTTGTTTATAGAAATATCTCTATTTCTATATCTATCAATTAATTTTTATCTTATGACTCATTATGATACTTTTTATAGCTTTTTCTTCTTTCTTTTAGACTGTTTTCTTGGGGGCATAAGATTCTCAAAAATTCAATGACTGTCTTCTTTGACTTATACACTTTACTATATATGGCCAGGTGGCTGTATTTTGGGGAGATACCAATAAAGTCAGTTACTTTCTCTCTCTTTTGCTTTTAGTTTCCCCAATTGCATAACAAGACTAATCAATGTCTGTGACTTTTTTAAAGTATATGGGCACTGGTAAAAGTTAAAATAACATTCAGGAGTTGCTTTGAGGATAACTTGCTGCTCATAGGCTATCATGTCACCCACCAGTTAATGGTGGGGCTTTGGTATTACAGCCTGCCGTCAATCACTGGGGCGTGACTACATTTCACGAATGTGGAAAGTGATTGATGTGTTCACGTGATACAACAGATAAAGAAGGGTTCCATTCTGGATGAAAGAGTCCACTGAGAATCTATTATGTGCTGTGCACATATTTTCTTAACAGTCCTGAGAGGGAAGATGGTACCTCTGTTTTATAGATGAGGGAATTATAATTCAGAGAAATTCATGAACTTGCTCAAGAGCAGACAATAAACAGAGCTGCAATGAAAGTGGAGGTCTGTTTGGCTCCCAAATAGACACTATTTTCCACTCTAACACAATAATTGTCTGCAAATAGGTGATGGGTCTGTAAAGGAAGTTTAAGCATGTTCTATAAGGACTCTGCTTATTGTCTTTGCAGAAACTGACTAAAGATAGACAATGTTAAGTGATGTCCAACTCTTTCTTTGTAACAGATAACGAACCAAACCAAATCCCAGGGCCCAAGAGGACTTTGTCGCCAACTCGTGCAGCCGAGCCAAGTCGAGGAGAAGATCCAAAGCAGGGACCTCAAGAACTCCAGGAAAAGAAACTCCAGGTGCTTGAGGAGAAGGTTCTCCGACTCACAAGGACAGTCCTTGACCTTCAGTCTTCTATAGCTGGAGTGAATGAAAACCTCAAACATGCCACCCAGGATGATGCCAGTAAAACACTGGTATCGTGGCTCAGCAACCTGCACCCCCACCCATCACCTGACAGTGCTGTTGGTGGAGACCCAGCAATAGTCCAATTTCCTGACAGTAGCAACCAAGAATCTGGCATGAAGGACATTCAGTCTGAATTGGCTGAAGTCAAAGACACTCTAAAGACCAAGAGTGACAAGCTGGAAGAACTGGATGGGAAAGTGAAGGGTTATGAAGGGCAGCTCAAACAACTCCAGGAGGCTGCCCAAGGCCCTACAGTAACCATGACGACCAACGAACTCTACCAAGCATATGTGGATAATAAGATTGATGCCCTGAGAGAGGAACTAATCGAGGGAATGGACAGAAAGATGGCTGATTTGAAGAACTCGTGTGAGTACAAGCTGGTTGGTCTCCAGCAGCAGTGTGACGACTATGGGAGCAGCTACCTGGGTGTGATAGAGCTCATAGGGGAGAAGGAAACCAACCTGAGAAAAGAAATAAATGAACTTCGAGCCCAGCTGCAGAATCCTTCAGGGCACACAAACTGCTGCAATAGCGAAAAGAATGGTGACTTTGGTCAACAGATCAAGATATTAGACCAGAAAATTGAAAGAGTTGCTGAAGCTACCAGAATGTTGAATGGGCGACTGGACAATGAATTTGACCACCTCATGGTGCCAGAACCAGAGATGGACTTTGATGCAAGATGGAATGAGCTAGATGCCAGGATCAATGTGACAGAGAAGAACGCAGAAGAACATTGCTTTTACATTGAGGAAACCCTCCGGGGGACCATTAATGGAGAGGTAGATGAATTGAAGCAACTTCTGGACCAGAAAATACACTCTCTGGAAGACCGTCTGGGGAGCGCTCTTCTGGAGCTTGCCAACAGCACTGATACGGAATTCACTCTCTCAGGCTCAGCAATACCAGGTGTGTCCAGATCAGGGAATGAACAGGTCATGACTGAATTAAACCACTTGAAGGATAAAGTTCAAGTTGTTGAGGATATTTGCCTACAAAACTTCCAAGGAGAGCCTCATGGGACAGAAGGTATTTTGCCACATGGGGAAGGTGACACAGTGGGTGATGACAGTTCAAAGCTTTTGAAATCTCTAAATGACACAATGCACAGGAAGTTTCAGGAAACTGAACGCAGTATCCAGAAACTTCAACAGGACTTTAGTTTCCTTTATTCTCAACTAAATCACACAGAAAATGATGTGGATCTTCTTCAGGATGAGATGAATAATTGTCGAAGAGGTACAAATGCTGAAGAGGGTGGTTTTACTCAGGGGGGCGAGCAAAAAAGGACAGGTGAGACGTTCCCATTTCCACAGGTTCCCGAGATGCATTGCTGCAGTCTACTGGAGGAGAAGTTGCAGAGGCTACAGAGCCAGGTCCTTACTGACCTGGACACTTGTAAAGAGAACACACAAGGTGTCCAGACGGAGGTCTCTCTGGTTGAGGGCAGGGTGTCTCAGATGGAGAAAACATGCAGTAAACTAGATTCCATCTCAGGAAGTCTTCACAGGATCAAGGAAGGGCTCAACAAGCATGTGAGTAGTCTGTGGAACTGCATCAGGCAGATGAATGGGACACTCCACTTGCATTCCAGAGACATTTCTGGCTTGAAGAATTCTGTCCAGCAGTTCTACAGCCACGTTTTCCAGATTTCTACTGACCTGCAAGATCTGGTCAAATTTCAACCACCAGCAAGTAAGTGGACCTTTACTATTCCATGTCTTGTATTTGTTTGCAGCATGTGGCAGTATTCTGCTAGATTTTGGACAGTTTGTGGAGTTTGCTAAACTTCATCAATACCACCCAAGATGTGGTCTGTGGATTGTGCCAATTCATGAATTGTTGCTGGGTAACAATGAGATAAATACTAACATCGAAAGTGAGCATTTATTTAGAAATCTTTCAAATAATTTAGGGGAGTAGTGCTTTGGTTCTTTAGGATAAGCACTGGATTGCAAACCACAAAGTTGGTGGTTTGAGCCCAGTAGCTTGTCCTCAGAAAAAAAGATGAGGCTTTCTGCTTTCATAAAGATTTATAGGGTGTGCAAATGGTTAATATGATTGCCTTCTATCCCAGAGGTTATGGTTCACGACCACCAAAGATGCTTTAGAATAAAGTCTTTGTGTTCTACTTCCAAAAAAACAGCCATTAAAACTCTATGGTGCACAGTTCTATGCTGACACACAGGGAGTCTCCAATGAGCTGGAACTCACTCAACATCAACTGGTTTTGAAATAATTTGACATCACTACAGCATTCAAGTACATGATCTGTGCATTTTTCAAAAGTATTAGTCAATAATGGATTGACAGTGAAAAAGGAAATCTGGTCCTTTGTTGCCAATAGATTGAAAAATACTAATCTATTGCATCATATGGAGTCGTGGTATGACGCTGTGGGTTAACGTGCTAGACTGAAAAGCCATTTGAACGGCAAGGTTGGCAGTTCAAGCTCACCAGCTGCTCCTCAGAAGCCCTGTACAGGGTCACTATGGGTCAGAACCAACTCAATGGCACTTAACAACACCAACTACAATTGCATCATATTGGCGAGCTTCAAATTGGTGTCAAAGTTTTGGCATAATGACTTGGGGCATTGGGTTGTGTGTCCCTTCTTCTACCTGTGGAATCTCTTGTATGCTTATATAGTCACTTATTTACATGTAACCCCTTATTTTTGCATTTTAATTAGGCATCTTCACCTTTGGGCTACCTCGCATTCCCTGAGATCTAGGGCATAGATGATGGTGGATGGAATGTTGTTATATTCCTTTTCAAATTCGGAGACCAAAACAGATTGCCTTCTCGGTAGATTCTGATTTAGGACAAATGCACGTGTGTCAGAGTGAAACTGTGCTCCTTAGCATTTTCAGTGTCTGTTTTTGCAGAAATAGATCACCGGTCTCTTTTTTTAGGCACTTCTAAATGGACTCTAACATCCAATCATTTGGTTAGCAACTGAGTTCATTACTCAGGGATTCCAAGACACATCAGGACCATGGATAAAAGCAGCTTAGGGGCAGTAACTTTATGGTGCCGTGAAGTTCCATGAAGCTTATCAATAGTGCTCCAAATAATGCTTGTTACACATTAGACACTCCACAAACGTTTTTGAATGATGAATGAAATACTTTTGAATAATATGAGTGTATTCAAAACAGCCAATTATTTTTTACTTGGGGGATAAATACATGATCCATGAAGCACAGAGCTTTCCTTATGCCAGATTCTTATTTGCGTTGGAACTGAGATAGCTATTTCTAGCTGCAGGAAAGGAGGTGAGGGGAACACGAAGAGAGATTACATATCGAGCACTTTCGATGTGTCAGGCTCCCTGGGTTGTGCAAATAGTTAATATGCTTGGCTGCTAACTGAAAGATTGGAGGTTCAAGTCCACCCAAAGGTGACCACTTCAGGAACGCATCTTATTTGGCCCCCGGCAGCCTCATGGGAAGGGAGCACTGTGTTCCAAAGTGGACGCATGTCTCTGGTCACACAGGTGGCAGAGCGCTGGAGCAGGAATGGGATTCAGGCTATTGTCTTCCATTCTAGCACCAACTCCCTGGCCTCTCCCAGAGTTGAACTTGGACTTCTTGGGTCTACAAGGAAAGCTATGTGTCCCAAAGGAAGCCTTTCGGACATTTCCTCTCCTTAATTTCCTGTCACCTGTCTTCCTCTTCTCACCTTTGTCACCTCTTATACTTTGTTAAGATCTGATGGCACAGGCCCTTAGCTGTTGAGCTGAGATTCCATGAGCTCACGTGAGCCTGTAGCATTTTACTAGCAGGTCCCAGCTGACACATAAAACCTGAAGGCTAGAGTACGAGAGACAAAAGTGTCCTGGTCTGGATGGGAGTCCTGGGTCAGGTGCCAGTCCTCAAGCGGGCTGGGAGGGTTCATGCAGCCAGGAGGGAAATGCTCTGCATGTCCCCAAGCACTGTGTGCTGATTTTGCAGAGAAGGAGGCCATTCAGACTGAGCAGGGGCCAGAACCAGGTCTTTACCACACCACACTATTTATAGCCCTCCCCTGTCCTTCTTGGGCCCTCTCAGCTTCCTATCTCTGGAATGTTGAGTAAAGGTCACAGATATAGAATGATTATCCTTTGTGAGGACAATGTTGTCTGGACTGTGCCTTACAACAGCACATAAAACCGGCTATTTCCAGTTTACGTGTGACTCCCAGGAGTTTATGTGTGTTAATTCTCGGTTGCACTAGGAATTGGAGGTAAACCCCTTTAAAGAAATATGGCTTCCCAGAGATTATGCTTTTGGAATGAGCTCGTTGTTGTGAATGTAGGATGCATGGACTTTCACGGATTGAAAAGAACCCAAAATTAAAAAGCAGAGCATTGCTTATCCTTGCTGAGTCTGGGGGCTAGGGGTTCTAGAGCCTGACTCTCAGAGACCCAGGCAGAAACCATTGGTCAGTTAAAAGGCAACAGAACATTTATTGAACTCCTAGTATGTGTGAGGCACGATCCTTTCCCTTAGAGCATTTTCAACCTCAGCAGTAAAGACACACACATCTCCAGAGAGAATGAGTAAGATGTTATATAAAAGCCCAATGAGTTTATTCCACAAAATCTACCTGAACACCTGCTATGTCTGAGGTAATGGGCTATATATGTGGGCTATGTGGACAGAGTGACAGTTTGGGGGAAGGTAGGAATCTTTGGACATGCAATGTTGGAATTGACTCAGTGGCAACTGGAAACTTATGAAACTGTTTTTCTCGATTTCCCCTTCCCTTCAGCCCCTGTTATTGTTGCTCAGTGTTGTCAACCCAGTTCCGACTCATGTTGTTGTTGTTGTTGTGTGCCATGGAGTCGGAATAGCTACCCTGTATAGGGTTTCCGAGGCTGTAAATCTCTGTGGGAGCAGACAGTCTCCTCTTCCTCCCATGAGGCTGCTGGTGGGCTCAAACCACTGACCTTGTTTACAGTCAAGTGCTTATCCCACTGAGCCACAGTATTTCTCCTTCAATCCCTGTCAACCATCAATCTGCATTCTGTTTCTAGGGATTTGTCTATTTTAGATATTTCATAAAAATCTAATCATATTTGTCCTTCTGTGCCTGACTTATTTCACTCAGCTTACTGAGTCCTGGTGTGGTTTTTTGTGGGATATAAAGCACTGGATTCAAGGTCGGTTTGAATTACAAGGTCGGTGGTTCAAACTCACCAGCCGCTCCTCTAAAACTCTATACAGGGCCATTATGAGTCAGGACCAACTCGACAGCCCTTAACAACAACAATGTGTTCAAAGTTCATCTATGTCATAGCAAGCATCAGAGCTTAAATTCTCTTTATGGCTGAATAATATCCTCGTATGTGTGAATAGACTGCGAATTCTGTATTCATTCATTTGTTGATGGGCATTTGGGATGTTCCAAGTCTTCTCCCCATTAGTGCAGGCATTCTTTCTTGGTGTTTAAAAGGAAGTCTTGAATCTACATGGAAATGTTTAGCTATATTCTTGGACAAAAGGCCCTTCTCTTTCACCTAAGACTCAGCGGGCTGCCCAGCTTCTAAACACTGAAGAAACACGGTATTATCCGATCACTTTCTCGTCTTCCACACAACAAAGTAGGTGTGATGCCTCTTTCTAGACCGGTAAAGACAGACTATATACAACCAAGCAAATACAGATTGCGTTTCATTTAATGATGAATGCCAAGAGCAAAGATGACACAGAGGAAGACAATAGAGAGGGAGCTAGGGGGTATATTTGAGGTGTTTGCTCAGGGAAGATTGCCCAGTGGAGATGATGTTTGAATAGAAACATAAAAGCAATGAGGGAGTGAGCCCTGCAGAGACCTGGGACCAGTCTTCCAGGTGGAGGAAACTCAAGAATGCCAATCTGGGCAAGTATGTGAGCAGGAGGGAGAGCCATAGACAATGAGGTCAAAGAGGGAGTAGGAATCAAATCATGTTGGAGTTTATAGGCTAGAATAAAGGATTTGGGTTTTCAGTATGATGAAAAACTGTTGGAAAATTTCAACAGGAAAGTGCTTATTATACCCCAGGATTGTAATCCCAGCTCCTCCATGTGACTTGGCAAGTATTTATCTACCATATACTTCACTTTCCTCATCTATTAATAATGAAACCTACCTCAGAGTTTCTCTCATTTTTGAATCTTGAAAACATTATGCTGAATGAAAGAAGCCAAACATAAGAGTTAAATACTGAATAATCCACTGCTTTGAAATATCAAGAATAGGTCATTACATAGAGACAGAAAGTATGTTAGTGGTTACCAGAGCCTGGGGGGAGGGTGAATGGGTACGGAGTTTCTAGTTGGGGTGATGGAAAGTTTTGGGGACTAGATAGTGATGAAAATTGTGCAGCATGGTGAATGTAGCTGTCATTGAGTTGCACACTTCTAGGTGTTGAAAATGGCTAATGTTTGTTATATATAAGTTGTTGTTAAGTACCTTGGAGCCAGTTCTGACACATAGTGACCCTGTTTGGGTTTCTGGAGTCCTGGTGTGGCACCATAGGATAAGCACTCGACCTCAAGGTCAGTTTGAACTATGAGGTTGGTGGGTCAAGCTCACCAGTCACTCCCCTGAACCGACTCGAGGGCACTATACAACAACAACATAGGGTTTCTGACGCTGTAAATCTTTGCAAAAGCAGAAAGCCTCATCTTTCTGTTGGGGAGCAGTTGTTGGGCATGAACTTCCAACCT